CTTAATAATATCCGTGTATGTATGTGTATTACAGTCGTTCACCCGGAGACTTCGATGCCAAACTGATACTTATCCAATCGTACAAATTTTGGTATTCTCCGTCACAATCACCATGAGCGAGCTAAATAACAACTACATTCATAAAACACATCCTTAGTTCCAATCCTAGAGGGCGCTTGAACAGTCTCCCCGAAGCAGGAGCAGGCGAGGGCCGTAATTTGCAGGGGGAGGGACACCGGTCTCAAGAAAGGGGCTCCGGAAGACAGCGACACACACTCCTCCCTCGTGCACGGTTGGGGCGACACTGACTCCCTCGATACAGCGCCTCCCTCGCTACGCCGGCCCTCGACCCGCCCGCCGCCGGCCGCTCGACGCACGCACGCACGCACGCTCGGCCAGGCGTGTCTCTTTCATTCACAGACAGGCGCAAGCATAATCAAGCCATTTATACACAATGTACTTTCTAAAATGGCCCAATACGTGCATCTAGAATAGCCATTGTTTAAAAGACACTAAGAGAAACTCCCCTTTTCCTTCAAATGTACTTTATCCTACTCCCCAAGTTCCGCATAGCAATCTGAACGAGTTTCGAAACAGACCAGTCGTATTCGGAGGATGACTTAGATATCTGATGCTGTTCTAGAAAATAGTTTGGAGAATAACGGCGTGACGAAGTATGGCAAAGCAACCTCGGTTTCTAATCAGCTGAGAACACGTCACTTAAATGTTTCTTTTTAATTTGCGTGATGCTGCATGAGATACGGATTAGCTATTAGAATGTGTGCGACAGGTTTGTTTTAAAAATTAGGGTATGAGAAAGTTTTATTTCGGTCTTTTGAAACCGTGCAAAGCCAGGTTTTAGAGAACGTCGCGTACTGATATAGGCCTAGATAATTAGAAAGCTAAGTAAACAATGTACTTTTCATTCAATACCATGGATGAAAATGCCGGAAAATTTCAATGAAATATGCAAGAACAAGCAACTGAATATCAATTGTTACTACAACGTTCTTCATTCACGAAAATGATTCACGTGAATCTATTATAATCAACAGTATGTCCATTATTGTTCTTATTATCCATTATTATTTATTTTGATGTATTTGTCCGTTATCATTTCTGACCTTACTGTTTTTTTATAATATTACCAATACTATAATTATCTTTATCATTATCATTGTTATTATTATGATCATTATTTTTAATGTCATTGTTGTTGGTATTGTTATTAGCAATATTACCACAATTTTTATTATTATTATCATTATCTTCATTATCTTTGTTAATGTTGTTGTTATCATCCCTGTAATAATATCATGATAATTACCATGTAGATAATAGATAATATAATCATTATAATCATACTATGATTATGTATATAATAATAATACTATTATTGATATAGTACGGAAGTAACTAATGACAGGATTACTGAAGGTAATGATTACATGATCAATATTGTTATTGATGTGTTAATGATAATGTTAATAATTATTGCAGTTATCATTATCATTAACATAATGTTATCATTTTGATTATTATGACTTATCACTAAGGACAATATTATGATAATCTTTAGATCTGTTATATTCATCATGAATATTAATTTTATTATTATTATTACTGTCATTATCACTGTTATTATCAGTAACACCAGCAGTAACTATTATTTATATTATTATCTTTACCATTGTCATAATTCATATTATTGTTATAATCATAATCATCACTATTATCATTATCGTTATTATTACTACATTAAATTAATTGTTATTATTACTACAACGTTCTTCACTCACGAAAATGATTCACGTGAATCTATTATAATCAACAGTATGTCCATTATTGTTCTTATTATTCATTATCATTTATTTTGATGTATTTGTCCGTTATCATTTCTGACCTTACTGTTTTTTATAATATTACCAATACTATAATTATCATTGTCATTATCGTTGTTATTATTATGATCTTTATTTTTAATGTCATTGTTGTTGGTATTGTTATTAGCAATATTACCACAATTTTTATTATTATTATCATTATCTTCATTATCTTTGTTAATGTTGTCGTTATCATCCCTGTAATAATATCATGATAATTACCATGTAGATAATAGATAATATAATCATTATGATCATACTATGATTATGTATATAACAATAATACTATTATTGATACAGTACGGAAGTAACTAATGACAGGATTACTGAAGGTAATGATTACATGATCGATATTGTTATTGTTGTGTTAATGATAATGTTAATAATTATTGCAGTTTATTATTATTATTTTCGTTCCTGTTAGCTTGAACTGTTGCACTAAAGTTACAGCCCGCCCGCAACTATGCCATAGCAGACTTAACCTAAGCTATCCTATTATGCCTTATCCTAACCTATCCATTCCTATCCAATTCCATCCTATCCCTACCCTGTCTAGAACAACCTAACCAAACCCAACTTAACTTATCCTCTTTTATCCTTCCCCGTCACAACCCTACCCTAACCTATCCTGACGTAATCTAAGTTATCCTAACACCATCCTACACCAGAAAGGTCGCATGCTCCTTTAACAGCTTCTACCCTTTAACAGCACCGCCGTAGCATTAGCCCGTAAGATCAAGCCGAGATATATGTCGTGTGAGTAGCCACTCGGCCTCCCCTCCCCCCCCCTCTCCCAAGACATTTAGGTCACTTTCGTTAAGTGTACTATTTTGTAAATTTACCTACGTTTGCTACTTTCGTAAACTGTCTTGAAAGAAATGCTTGCTATTTGTTCGTTTTAATTCAAGAATATAATTACGTTGTATTTACAAATATATGTAAGAATTAGTATGTATTTTTGTGTATCATGAATAGTATCATATTACTTAAACAAATGATGCACACATTACACCCATCAACTTTCTCGCATACAAAGCGTGGTTACAGGAAACAGAATTAGCACGTATCTCTCTATACTACGTGTAAGATACGTGCAACATGACAGGCTCGGAAGTGTGTGAGGGGGGGGGGGGTAGACCTCTCGCAAAGATACCTATCATGCGCCGTGCTTTCCCACAATCCATCTCCCGAAACCAGAATCCATGACGTTTGGCTTCGTCTTAGAGAACCGAGGGATATGGGAAGCTGTCATTGGGTTCGTTAGTATTACAAGGCTGTACATTCTGACTTTTTGTGTTGTTGTTGTTTTTTTTTGCTATTTTCTTGTCCGTTAAATATTTTTTGTTGTTGTTATTATTGCCATTATTGATATTGTTGTTGTTCTATCCTAATCGTTGTTATTATTGCTGTTGCGATCCTGTTTCATTGGCAAACAATATTTGTTATTATCATCATCATCGTCGTCGTTATTGTTATGGTTATCATTACTATCATTATCATTATCCTCATTATCATTATTATGAGGATTATGATGAAGATGATGATGACAACAAATATTGTTTTTGAATAAAATCTGGATCGTAACAACAATAATGGCAGCGATTATGCACAACAATAACAATAATGACCCAGCCTGTGTTTTTTGTTATTATTGTCATTATTGTTACTCTTGTTCTTCTATCATCATCGCTGTCATTATTGTTGTTACGGTCCATCTTTTTCACATACAGTATTTCTTATCATTATCATCGTCATCACTGTCATCATTATCTTCATTATCTTCATTATCCTTATTGCTATCATTATTATGATTATTATCATTATTATTAGTAGTAATAGAAATAGTATTGCTATAATAATTATTATTACTATCATTATTATTATTATTATTATTACTATCATCATTATAATTGTTGCTATTTTCATCGTTATTATCATCATCATTGTTGTTATCATTATTATTGTCATCATTATTTCCTTAAAATCAGTCAGCGAAGTATCATCCATCTATTCCCATCTATTCTCATCAGAGGGGGAAGAGACGCCTGTTTCACCCTCGTTAAACCTTATTACTTACCTGCAGTGAGTATCCACCTCCACTCCCACCCCACTCTATTTTTTATTTATTTTTATTTATTTTTTAACAAAAACATTAACATGATCACGTCCCACACACTTTTAGTCAGGAACACTGTTGGCTTCTTCTTCCTCTTATTATTATTTTTTTCTTCTTCTTCTTCTTCTTCTTCTTCTCCTCCTCCTCCTCCTCCTCCTCCTCCTCCTCCTTCTCCTCCTCCTTCTCCTTCTCTTTCTCCTCCTCCTCCTTCTCCTTCTCCTTCTCCTTCTCCTCCTCCTCCTCCTCCTGCTCCTCTTCCTTCTTCTTCTTCTTCTTCTTCTTCTTCCTCTCCTCCTCCTCCTCCTCCTCCTCCTCCTCCACCCTCTCCTCTACCCCCTCCTCCTCCTCCTCCTCTTCTTCCTCCTCCTCCTCCTCCTCCCCCTCTCCCACCACCCCCTCCTCCTTTCCTTATCATCATCACTCTTTGGTAACCTAGAGTTCACCCTATCGCATTACCTAACGCCCCGGGGGTAAAAAGCCACACACTATGCATCTGGCCCCCTTCCGTCGCCACTTCACCGCATGCATGGCCACGCGAACAGCATCATATGGCCACGTAACAGACTCCCAGGTGATACAAAAACCGTCCCAGCGAGAACATATGGCCTATGCTGTTCGGGATTTCGGCCAAGGACGGATAGGGAAGGAAGAAGAACGAGGGGGAGGGAGGTAGATAGATTTTTTTTTTTTCAGCGTTGTAATAAGGATGATGGATGGTGATGGTGATGACGGTGGTGATGAAGAGGAAGGTGGTGAGGGCGGTGATGAGGTGGAGGAGGATACAGGGTAATGATGGCGATAATGATAAAGTTAATGATGCCGGTAGTAGTAATAACAGTAACAATAACAATATTCAATAATAATGAGATTAGTAATGGTGATGGGAAGAAAAATAAGAAGAAAAACAGAAACAACTACATTAGCAATAATAAGAACAAAAACAGTGATAATAATGATCATAACGATAATAACAACAATAATAAAGAAAATAATGAAAATGCTATCAATAACAATGATACCATTAAGAATAACCATGATCTAAACATGAAGCGAAGCTGACTAAATTTATTTCTAGTTTCTTTATTACATTTAGGTTAGGTGGCGAGCACCCCTGTTTTCCCTAATGGTCGCGGGGATCTTTTACAACACTAGCTCTTAGGCCTAACCTCCTTTCCTTAATCTCTGTAAGACCATCAACATCATCATCCGCTTCTTTTGATTTACACACACACACACACACACACACACACACACACACACACACACACACACACACACACACACACACACA